TTAAATAGTTTATATTCTTTCGCGGTAAAATTCTGTTCTCACTCTGGCGTTACGCTTGCACGCCGCTCTCGTTTGCGCACCGCTCTCGCTTACACGCCGCACTCGCTTGCTTTATAACTACCGCTTGCTCTTCATAATAATTACTGTGTGAAATGTATCACTAACTCTTTGCATAAAAATATATTTATTTTTACCTCCTAATCTGGTCTAAGTTTATTGGAGTCTCCCCGTCTAACCGCTTATACCGAATCCTGGCACCGGCGAGCTATTCCGCGCTTAGCAATAGAATCGCGAAATAAAAACGCACCGTTACAAACTAAATCATCGTGTGAATTCGGTATTATAATTCCAGAATATAAAGGATTGTTGTTCTTCAACCACATCAATGCATCAATTATTTTTGTAACATTTACCATCTCTTTCCAGATAACTTTAGATTTTGTGGGAATACCTCTAACTAAGATATATAATTCATGATTAATATTTATCGCATCAGTTTCAGAACATAATTTGTTTAATGTCTTTTGTATTGGAAGTGGTAAATGAAAGGTTCTACCTTTAACTTTTTGTATCATTTGTCTTCCAGGTAATTTTTTATTCATAACAGTGTAACGGTGCGGCTTCCCGTATGGGAGCGGTTAGCGCGGTTAAGCTCGCCGGTGCCAGGATTCGGAATGCCCCCTTCGTCGTGCGCCACCTTGTCGTGGTGAAGGGGCTCACCATGGGGCGGCTCGCTAGAGTCGTCTTGTGGTGCTAAGAGCGCACAGTTCCCTCGCTGGAGGGAACAAGAGGAGCCCAGCGACTCCTTAGGGACTTGTCCCAATCGCTGGTAGGAGACGGGGACTCTGACTTCAAACCCCCGGTGGCATGACACCGTTAGGGGGAGATTTCTATCTCCCCTCCATGCACGGGCGGCCAGGCTCGTTAGCCCAGTGGGGCGGCTGGCTAGGGGGGTGCTCCCCCCACGGTTGAGGCCTGTCCTGGCCGGGGCTGCTGCTCCGGCGGGACGGGTCTCTGGTGGGGTCACTTCGGTGGCCCTGTCTAAAGGGGTGGATGTGGGTGCCGGTCCTTCCTGTGTCTGGGGCTGGTCCTTCCTCTCCCAATTGGGGGGGGACAGGATGCGGTCTGGCATGGGGGGAAGCGGTGTCCCACAAGGGTGGCTCTTCCTCTCCGCCCAAACGGCTCGTGGACGTGGTCCTCGAGTACGCGGGCGTGAAGGGGAGCAGCTCGTGGAAGGACACTCCGGCAATATTGCCGGAGTGCAGACCGTAACCCCAATTTTATTGGGGCCGGGGGCCGGTGC